TCTGACTTACCAGAGTTTGCTCTGACCTTCAAGCAGGAATTTGAGAGAAAGCACATATGGTAATAAATTACACTTACCATAAGTTGAGTCAGATGTCAATGGTGTATCACTACAAAGCCTGACAAACTGTGCAGAGGGATTCATAAAATTGTTTTTGAAAAAGGTTATAGTGAACCTTGTGAAAAAAACATACTTGGTAAAAGGAGATGGTAAGGAGGTGAAGACTAATAACTGTTGTAACTAACACTAAGTTCACCAGCTGTCATTTACATAGATTTTTCTATACTATGATGTCAGCGTATCTCGAATAATAACTCATCAAATCACCTTTGTGAGATGTTAAATTTTTGATTAGTTTAGAAATTGTTCATATTTAGTGATGAATTTGAAAATTTGCACTTACATTTGCTTTTGAATAGTCTGTCAGGTTGCCTTATGTTTTATTGACACTTTTAATTGTATCTTTTAATTGCTGCTTCAGTGGCACAATTATTTTCATTAAATGTATTTAATAAATAGTTTCCTGTAGATGGAAGCGCAAATAATTGAAGCAATAATCTGACAATGTCTCCCATTTATTGGTGTCTTTTAAAACTATCTCTCTGTCGTTCTTACTGTCATTCTCTGTTGTTATACAAGACAAATAAACATGGCAAATTATTTACTTTTAATGTAACATTAAACCAAAATAAGAACAATGACAGTGTTTTATTGCACTCTAGAAGTGGTTTAGCTTTTTCACATCACGTCTTGAATTTTCATTGAATAATAACCAGTTAAAATCCCTTCTTGACAGTATCTAACAACTGGAATCAGACAATATCTAATCTTAACATGTCTATTTTTATTTTAGTATTCTGACTACTTTTATTTTATTTCAATTTATATTCATTATTATTTTAAATTATATATATATTTTACTTGTTTTAATGTTAAAAAACTTTTTATTATAAAAGCTTTGTCCCACATTTTGGTAACAAGGTTGCAATATTTGCAAACACCATATAAAAGGAACAGAAAATAGGCTGATTATCATCTGATCAGGCTGATTTTGGCTAAAGGTTAAGCATCTTTCACTGCCTTAATATTTTTGTTTATTTTTAATGACTTCAGTTTCAAGCGTTTTTTGTACTCAATTTGTGGAAACTGCCATAATTTGTATATCTTATTTTCTAGAAATAGATAGATGTAGCACTCAAGTACAATGTTTGACATTCCAAAAGGTTTTTATTGGTTTTCGTTTACAGGAAATACATGATAATGTAATAAAGTTGTCATTTTAAGTGTGTACTTTATTTATAATGAAAATGTATGTACTCACTTTAACTTTCTATAGAAAGTTCTCCATTCAAAACATATATTCTTATAATTATGTTTTAAACATTGACTGGGTTGAGTATTTTTCCATTCTCGCTTAAAAGGAGAAACAACAGAGATGTCTGGACTCTGTCATCTGTTCCAAAAGAATATCTATTTTTCGGGTTAAATCTGAAGATGGGGCCCTGTCTGAGATTAGTAAGGAATGTCAAGCACTCCAATAGCACGCAGTTTCACAGGGAACTAACTGACCGTATCGGTTTCATTCCTCTTTAATGACATCTGGAGACTTTTCCAGTAAGTTGGCTGTTTGGTATGGGAAAATCTCTATGCTGCTGGGTTCACTCTCAGAAAAACAAAAACATGTTCAGTCATTCTATAATACAATACAACTAAAATAACACACGGTCGCTTTCATGTGCGGCAACAGATAAAAAGTGCTTAGTCAAAAAGTTGTGCTGCTGTGGCCTTGCCATCATATTTGGCACCTTTCCCATTGAAGTCTGAAGGTAGGATTTCAGCATCAAACTCCTTGAAGTAGTTCTCCAGCTCATCACCGTGGACAAACACCTTCAAAGACGCAGAAAGTCAAAACTACTTTCTCATCCATCATAAATAAAATTATTCATCTTCTTGTTTTCCACAAATACTGCCCAACACAATTTACCCTTTCCAACAGTTTGCTCTTCATCAGGGGTTTGACCACATTGTAGGTGGTAGTGAAGTACCAGGGCTGGTGGATAAAGTGCACTGCTTTGAAACGTGCAGGGAAAGAGTCCTGCCAAACACAAGAAAAAGCAACAATTAAGATGTGGAAAGATGAACATTTATGTGTTATTAATAGATTTATAGACTACAAAGTTTGATATGCCAACGAACTAATCTTCAAATGATGCAAAATCAGTCATGTTATGCTGTCATTTTGGACTTATACTGCCACTTGGTGGTGTGAATGCAGCAATACATAAAAGTACAATTACTGATTTCATTGTAGAAATGCACTTTTAGCAGTTGATCATGATTAATACATTTCATACTAATTTCTTTTTTATTTTAAAGATATATTTTTGGTATTTTGCCTTTTATTGTGACAGGACAGTATTTAGGCAGGAAGCGAAGTGGGAAAGAGAGAGGGAGGACCTTTCAATGGCGTTGTGTTGTTGCCCACGAGGCTATTAGCACCGACTCGTATTCATTTTTTTGTCATAAAATTATCTGTAGGTAAGTATTACTGAATGCACCTTTAAGATCTAATACAGAGAGCTTTTTTTTTTTTTTTTTTTAAAGATAAATGCGTCACCTGCAACATGTCCACCATTTTCTTCAGCTCTGTGGGCTTGATGCCAGAAGCTTGCTGCATTGTGAAACCTTTAAAGTTTTCAATGATGCAAAACCCGTTGATCTGAGTCTCTTCATTTTGCAGAAGCTTCTCCAGGATCACACAATAGGCTCTGAGGATCTGGAACATAAACACAATGTCAATACACGTGACATACTTTTAGTTTTTTAATGCATCCTTGCTGATTAAAAGTATTAATTTCTTCAAAAAACGGACCTTAACATTTTTGATCGGTAGTGTTTATTTTTTATTAATATAATAAAAAAAATGAAAAAGAGAAACGGACATCAATCAATATACAAACTAACTACCAGTTCAGCCTATTATCATTTAAAAAAATCACCTCATCAAAAGTGATCTCCTCATAATCCCAGTTCTCAATGTTGAAGAGCAGCACCACACGGCCGTATTTATCTCTGCTGGACAGGATCCCTGGGTAACCGGCCTCAATGGTGCTGCGGACAGCCTCTGGGGTCAAGTTTTCAAAGAGTTCAGGGTAATCCCGCCTGAAGCGCACATAACCTTCAGGACAATAAAACCAATAGTAGCGTCTCAGGGCGAGCAACATTCCGGTGGTAGCAATTGTAAAAAAATAAAAACCCTTTGGCAAAACGATTTACCCCTCAGAAGTTCATAGGCCCTGTTAACTTCATATTTTCTGGCACGGATGAACCTCACCAGCACGGTATCGGGTTTGTCCCCAAAAGTGTCCTGCACACCTTTAGCGAGGTCGTCTCCAGAATCCGCCTTCTCTTTAATAATACCTCTGAGTTCCTTTACGGCTGACACTCGCTTCTCGTCTGTCTCATTTAGCTCATCTTTAGCCTACAACAACATCACAATTTAAAGTATTCATAAAAACACAACAATTTCTTTGTAAAGTAGCAGTTTTTTAGACAGTCAGAATGTGCAGTGAAGCCTGCTAATTTGATAGGAGATGCTATTGTGTAGCGGTAACTGGGTTTTTTATATTTTCTCAAAAAATATTGTGCGAAACTTGCCACAGTGATGCTAGATGGCTGCTAGGTTATTACTAGGGTGTTTATTTTGTGTGGTCACTATGTGGTTAAATAAGCGATATCAAACGAGTAGCAGTGCGATATGGCTGTATATCAGCACGGCTGTGATTCGGCTGTATGGAAATCACAACGTGCCGATATACGGCCATATTGTACTGCTACAAGTGTGTTATTGCATTTATACAACAGTTCGATGGCACGAGTGTGTAAATGCAAAAGAAAAAAAACTATGGAGTCTTTAAAAACCCTCTTTTGTGCAGAACTACTTTCTTTACTGCTGACTCACTCATAAAAACATTTATTTTGTTGCCATCTAATGACAGAACAGTGTAACTAATCACCATCACGAACACACACACATACTGTTTCCCATTACTAAATACTAATTAAATATACTATTATTTATATGAATATTATTTATTAAATAATAATATTTAATAAACAACAACAACACCCATCATAAAAGTTGCTAGGCAATTCAGTCAAAAGTACAAAGGCAGCGCTCTGATATACATCATTGAAGTTACGTAAAACATAATGAGATGAGATTTAGCCAAAACTCAGCCAAAACTATTTGCTCTGGAACAAATAATAGATTAATGAAACCAAAGACTGCCCGTTGGATTTACCCAAAACAAATTATATCTCATGTTTAACCACAATAGAGACATCAGAGCCAGCGGTAAATTCCAGAAGATCTGCTCTCGGCGGGTTCATGAGCGCTGAATGGCTGCTGATGCCCTGGAGCTCACATCTCCGAAAGCATTGAAGCAAATTTTCAAATAGACGTTATCTTTATTAACAAACCGCATATTTGAAGTCTAAACAAGCACTACTCTGTCAAAAAAACACTTAAAACTACATTCCGTGATACAAAAACAGTATTATTTAAAAAAAATTATAGTGGCTTTGGGCATTTGCCATGACACTCGCTGTGAGAAGTAGCGCATGCGGAGTGATACAAACGGTGAAACCTCTCTTTCTGGTCCTCTCAGCCAATCAGATTGGAGGACCAGAAAGAACTGTTGTATAAAATTTAACAATAGCAATGCTTAACTTACTTAATATTAAATTGGCTATAGTTAATTCATATTTAGACAGCTAAAATGTGCTTTGTTCAGTCTAAATGTGTATATTTTATACTTTCTAAAGACTTGCTCACACCTTCTGCACCGTGTGGTCGGGTATTTGGGCGCAGGGTCTGAACACCGGCCCGTGATCTTTGACTGTGAGGTGCTCCAGCTTAGCCCTGAGGGCCTGCTCCTCCTCGGACACCATCCGGAATGTTCCGCTCTATAAAAAGTTATGGAGAAAGACTTATGAAAAGATCCTAATCCTGAGTTTAAGCAAACACTTTAATTTAGTAGCCCTAATCAATGGAAGCTAGTGTGGGCCAGTGCTAAGCTCACTCACATGAACTGCGTAAAGCCTAGTAAACCTGGTCTGAGATTGGGAATAAGCTGCTAATGTACGTAGCTCTATCCCTAAACAGTAAGATCCGCCTTGTTCTTAAAACATTTGTTCACTAAATGAGTAATGGTTTGGAGGAACCTGGGTGAGATCACATGCTGGGTGACATAACAGGGTCTTAAGACTTCAGTGGGAAATACTATGTTTCACTAATGGAAACAGTTGTAAAAGTTTTCTCTCATTCTGATAACATCATTTAGTCAGTAAGCAAATGCAACACTGAATGTGGTTTTACAGTTAATAAAGACCACAAAAATTTACTTACAACAACAGCCATTGCTTCAGATGCTCAGTGCAACTTTCTGTGGAAAGACAGATAATGATCACAAGAAAAATGCTGCGACTCCAAAAAAAAAAGGCTTTTTTATGACATATAGGCATAATGGTTTTTCTGAACAATGAGAAATTATAAAATTTTAATGACTTGGTAAAACTTTTTATCATAATAAATATACTTAGTATTTAAGTCATATTCTTATTATGTTGATGAACCAAAGTTATCTGTTAACTTTTAATTCAAAACGGGTTGTCTAAATATTAATTTAATTAGAAACAATCACTGAAAGCAGGGATTTAAAAAAAAACATTTTGATTCTCAGGTCCCAAATGATGATGATTTCCCTTATTTTATTTTATAAAATGTTATATGCATAAACACCCAATTATACTGTTTGACAAAGAAAAATTGAGCATGATATAATAAAGAAAACATGTAGTTTGAGAAATTAAATAAGTGGCTTTTTATTGTCATTGTACTTTTTTTACCCACTATTAGAGTAATAAAATACTAAAATAATAAATCAATAAAATAAAATGAATTTAATAAAATATATTAAAAAAACAAACAAAAAAAGAATCTTTTAAATGTAATAATATAAAAATATATTTAAAAAATCTTATTTTTAAAGATTATTTTCTTATTTTGTAATCAATATTCTAATCAATTATTATAGCTTCTGACCATGATTTCTGACCAGTCTTTAGAAAGCAGAAAATAAGTTTTAATCTTCATCTTGCTTCTCAAGTAAATGTATCTTGATTTAAGGAAGTTTTGATATTTGTACTGGGAAAAAACTAAGATATTCATTTTTGCAATGCATGCAACATTTAATGCCATGACTTGAATTTAAAACTTTCTGTTCCTTTTCAAGGCCTTAATTTGTGAAAAAGTGATTTAAGACTTTTTAAGACCTGCAGAAACCCTGGTAATAAAATGCCAAAATAATTAAACAAACAAAATATTACCAATAAAATTGTAATAAGGCCAATGAAATAACATGAATAAAAAAAATATATATATATATTAAGCATGTTTAAAACCTTGTTATTATGTTAACTTTAAAGTAAAATCATTTTTGTGGACTCCCAAGAAACACTTTGTGTCCACCTGGGAGTCCCCGAAGTCCAATTTTAAAGGCAGATTACCAAAGGCTAATCTGAGACATTGGGTTATATAATTGGGACATTTCTTGCTATATCACAAGCATTCCAGCAGGGTTGTTATGTGATAGTCTCCATCAGTCTGACATGTTGAGGTGAAAATTGCACCAACTGCAAAAGTTGAAAGTGAAAAAATCTCCCAGATTACTTTCATTCATTCTACCTCATTAAAACCACCAACACTTTAAAAGAATAGAGAATTATCCATCATCATCATTAATATTTTTAAAGTTTCCAAAACTTGAGCAACGCACATCCTAAATGACATAACAAATCCCACGCTCTATCCTAGGAAACGACACTTACCTGACACAATGCGGTGCTGCTCAAGCCACCAGAACTGAGTGAGGTGAGGAACAGCAGGCTGCAATAATTTGTAGTGTGACCTGTGATGGATTAACAACGTCATATGGATTATGCAGAACAGATTTGATGTTAATCAGCCAAAAACATTGAGAAAAGGAGCAAAGAGAACATTGACCAATAGCCTGCAGCCAATAGCATCATGCTCTCATATTTTAATCAAGAGGAACCTTCCCTGACCCCCAAACACTTTGTCTAATTAAAAAAAAAACAGGGAGTTTATTAGAAAGAGTGTGTCAGACATATTAGTGGTTAATAATATTAGAGGTTAAATGTGAGGGAGGGTTTGGCAATCCACTGACCAATAAGATTTGGCTGGATTCCGGCACCAGTGAAAAATATGTGCTGGCAACGGGAATGGTTTCTGGAAATAGAACTTGAACACAAAGCCATGTTCAAATGCCAAGATACGGATGTAGGCATTTTCATTAGAATTAGGTTATAAAATATGCATCAATTTAAAACATCAAACCTTTTAGAAACTCTACATTTAAATAGCTAATCAGATTTATTTATTTTTTTACCATAAATGCTGTATATGTACAATTTGCTTTACAAAACTCGTAAAAACTATGGAGAAATATGAAAATAAATGTATAAACTATATATTTCGACATTTAAAAGTAAAATAATATATTGCAATTAGTTTTGCAAAAACCAAAATACTAGTTTGCCGAAGCTTTTGTTGTATATTTCTAGAGAGCATTCTCTGTAAAACTGCTTTGGAAGGATATGTATAGTTAAAATGTTATATAAGTAAATTAAGAATTATGTAACTGAATTAAAAATCCACCCCCCCAAAAAAAGTTCATACATTTAACAATACTCTAATAATGGCTAGATAAAAAATAGTCTAACGATGGACCCTTTTCATGGAAATGTGAAAAATGTCCACTATAAAAACAAAAAAACTAAATATTTAAATATAAAAAAACTTTATTAGTTTAAGCCATTTCACAAAAATCTCAAGACAGTACTCAAAATTCAGTTTTAGTTGTAAGCAGCCAGTGGTTTGCAGCCAGAATTATTGCATTCCACCCTCAAACGTCACTGCAATGTTTCCCACTGATACATTGATCGGTGGGGTGGCCATAATCCTGTAAAGCAGGATTTAGCCTTTGAATGTGAGGGTCTGTATTACTAAAGCAGTGATTGCAGCACAATGGTCGTCTCTGTGCTACCAGAGCTGCTCAGAATTTATTTTACGTCTGTTGGGTAAAGGCATAGTTGACAATAAATTTGATGATTCATTATGCAGGTATATCGTTTCAGCCAAGCCAGAATCTTTAGATCAATAAACATTTACATGACAAATATTAAAGACAACCGATTACATCACAGTTTCAATCCAACTGCGATCCATCCATATCTTATGTTGTGTTCAACATAATATATTCATACAGGTTTGGAACAAGATGAGGGCGAGTAAATTATAGAATTTTCATGTAAGGTGCGGTCACATTTTAGTATTTAGATAATATAGCTAATTTAATGCTATAATAAACACAAATGTGACCCTGGACCACAAAATGTATTATATTTGTATATTTGTACAATACATTGTATGGGTCAAAATTATTGATTTTTCTTTTATGCCAAAAATCATTAGGATATTAAGTAAAGATCATGTTCCATGAAGATATTTAGTAAATTTCCTACCTTAAATATATCAAAACGTACTTTTTGATTAGTAATATGCATTGCTAAGAACTTCATTTGGACAACTTTAAAGGTGATTTTCTCAATATTTAGATTTTTTTGCACCCTCAGATTCCAGATTTTCAAATAGTTGTTTCTCGCCCAAATATTGTCCTATCCTAATAAACCATACATCAATGGAAAGCTTATTTATTCAGCTTTCATATGATGTATAAATCTCAATTTCGAACTAAATTGCCCCTTATGACTGGTTTTGTGGTCCAGGGTCACACATATACACATATACATACACATATACACACACACACAAAACTTTATCATTAAAAACAATGTAACTAGTGTATTAAAAATGTTTCAATGTTTCTCAAATAAAAAAAAAGATAGTTAATTTTAACAGTAATTTATGGTCTTAACTGTAAACTTGTTAAAAAAAGGTAACAACATTATACATTATAAAAAATACAAATATAAAATATTATCTTAATCAAACATTGAGTATAATATAGATTTCAGAAAAAAAAGAATAGTAGTAAGAAATAATGTAACAAATTAATTTACATTTATTTTTAAAACAGCTATTATTTATGTTACTGTTAATTATATAAAAGTAAACAGAAATGAAAAAATATTTTAAAAGTAAAATGTACCATACTTATAATTATTTTTATTTTTTAAATCTACTATTATGTGTTAATAATTTAATTTATGTTACTCAATATTAATAAAAACTTCAGCTTAAATAATATTAAATAAATGTATTTTTGTAAAAAAAAAATAAAAAAAAAATGAATATGATAATAAAAAAAAATATTTTGACTGGACAGTAAAAATATTGGCAGGGCAATATAACAGCTGAACTACTGGCTTTTCTGTACCGGCAGGGGAAAAATTCCCTACTGTTTAAAACTACTATACAATATCAATTTAAGTCAGAGCATATAAACCCACCTGAACAGAAACTTGTATATACAGTGTAGTGTAGTTAGGTATAAGTGCCTCCTCACCTCATTCTGAGCGTCCTCAAAAGCCACTGCCTGTTGTAAATGATGTTTCCTAATGCCACTCCATCTTGTGCGGTAGTCTGTGACTGGATTCCGAGGTAAAATATATTTATCATACAAAACACTACCATAATAATTTACTATACTACAGCGTGCCACTTCACTACACTTGCCCCCAGGTCCAGTGCCAACCATTTCACAGTCCATAGCTACAAGCTTAGAGTGGTCTATTCCCACACATGGCGAACTCCTGCCACTGGTGGGAGGACTGGATTCAGACGAAAAGCCACTGTCCACCTCCCAGCTGTCACTGAGAGGTAATGCAGACTCAACTTCACCAGTCAGTGTATGAGGAGTTATTCTGGGCCTTTTGAATTGCACATGATTTGACTGTTCAGATACAGAATCCGAAATATATCTATGTTTAACACACTCCGACTTGTTTTCCAAAAGCTCATCTGATTTTCTTTTCTTTCCTTTTTTTTGTTCAAATGACACTTCATGGAATTCAGTTGCGGATTTTTTCAGTTTATTCTTTTTCCTTCGTCTTTTAGCTTGATGAGAAATAGTGCTTGTTTCTTTGTTGGTGGCTGACAAGATATTTCGGCCCACACCATTACTGGTGGAGTATCTCCAAGGTGAATCAGACATTATGTCACCATGTAGTTTTACATCTGTCAAAAAAGAAGATACTGTTATCAATCAAAGTAAAAGTATCTGTGTCCTTACAGAGATCAATGACAAATAATACCCAAGATTCAATACGAAAGAATTAGACAGCTTGCAAGTTACTAAGTTAAGATACATGAACAACATTAACTCTATATCTGACTACATAATCCATCTAAGGAAAGGACATGGTCGGAAAGTGTCAATTATTTACCGCTCTATTATATTTAAGTTGTGATCGTGATCATTCAGTACAGTCACTTAGCACTGGCTAGCTAACCATTCGGCAAAGAAACAATAACGTAATCTGTCGCGTTTTACGTTTAATAACAACACAAACCCTAAATAATATTACATTGTAAAACATTCCAGCAAAAACGCTGATTAGCGTTGTAATACTTAAATAATTTTACACATTAGCACATACCTCTGCGTACACGTGGATCCGGTGAGAAGCAGGGCAACGAGAACATGCCGAGGCAAGACCCAAATCCAGCGATTTGATTGGTCGATCCGTTTCTACATATTGCACTCTGATTGGTCAAAACAAATGCCAGTGCAGAGCTCCTCCCCCAGGGGTCCTTCGGTGAAAATATTGATGTACTGTTGTTTTGTTGCTGTGTAAATCATTGTGTGGACAGCGGAATTACGACAGAGACCATTTTATGAATGGAAGTCAACTGAATTGGTACGCTGAATAAACTGCTAAGAGATAAATAGCAATACAATCTGAAGGAATTTGACAGCTAGCAAGATACTATGTTCAGGCACATAAGCAATATACTTACAGACTAGATACAAAATTCATCAAAAAGGTGATGTTTTTTTATTTCACTGTATTAAAGTGATATTGTAATGAATTTGAGCATATCCCCGGAGAGCCTTGGATAACATTGACTGAGAACTCTGTTTTAAGTGCATGTAAGTGTGTCTCTGGCATTTGATTTATTAATCAATGAATTAATTAATTAAAATCAGTTTGATTATGATTATCTATGTTGTAATTTGTAAATTACAGAATCATCTGTAAATTGTGCTTGTTTATCTCTTATCAGGTCCCTGATGACAACAATAAAATGTTATTAACAGGAAAGATCATCCAAAAATGAAAATTCTGTGATATATTCACTATAAAACCTGTATGACTTTCTTTCTACCATGGGATTCAAAACGAAAAATTATAAATAAATTATTGATTATAAATAAGATATTGATCTTATGTTGCCATTTGGATATGTTGCCATTCCTGCTCGTGATCACGGGAAGAACTCCACATAGATGTTCTCAGAGTCTTCGAAGTTTATTGGAAGTAGACACATTTATATACGGTGGTTCTCACTAATGTTATACAATTCAAGGAAATATTACCTTCTGATTTATAGAGTAGTTTGCTGCTTAAAAGCTTT